AAAGGACTTTAGATATCCTGATCCAAGTAACCAAACCGGTCTTTTATTTCTCTTGGAGTAACCAAGTTATCAGCACAATCCATAGTGGGCCTGTTTGAAAAGTGGCCGAGAGGAGTTTTCTTATTTGTTCAAAATAATATTTCAAATTTTACTGAAGGTATATTAAACCCTTGATTTTTTTTGAACCTCCTATAGTTGGTGACTGATGAAATATTCTGTTGTGTGCTAAAATGGCAAGTTGAGAGTGGATCTGGTGATGATCTTCATGATATGTGACGTCTTGGAGATTCAAATGCAGCTTCACCACCCTCTTCACGCATGCAGATGTTTCCACATGATAATCGATAATCCAGCCTAACCCCCTAATGCCAAGGATTAACAATAGCCAGCCACAATCCAGCCGCGTGTGGGACAAGATGAACCAAAAGGAGAGGATGTGTTATTTAATAGGTTACTATTTAAAGGCAAAACCTGGAGGCCAAAGGTGCAATATTTAAATGAAAATGTTGGATAAAATTCTTATATTTTAAACTTAAGCCTTTCCCCAAGGTGTCCTCACAGCCCTAAAGAAAACAATAACACATGTGAACTTGTGTTTTTTAAAATAAATTGTATACATTTGACTAAGCTGTTCAGAGTTGTTAAGGTTTGTGCAAAACAACCAGCAAAACTTTGAGCTACAATAGTTCAAAGCAACATCTGGCCGGATGAATACTTGGGATCTATGGAGCAACAGGAGCAGGTTTTAATGAAAACAGATGGCTTGACAGGATTATGAAACACACACACACACACACACACACACACACACACACACACAGATGCATGCACTTCACAGACACAAGAGATGATGAAACCACAAGAAAAAAAACACTGAGGAAGATTGAAAGTGTTTGAACAGGCTTGGGGCGATTTCCTTAATAATTCAGCTTTATATAGCAAAGAAACTTGGAAGCAACTGTCTGACCCGACTGCCTGCATCATGATTTATTTTAATTCATTTAATTGGGTACTTAATTTGCTCTCCGAGGCTTGGCATCGTCTGCACACCTAAGTGGCCTGGAAATGGATCAGTGTTAGGCCCTTTTCTCCTCTTTCGTTTCTTCATTTCAATTCAAATAAAAAAGTTTTTCATTTATAATTTGATTCCTCTACGGAAAACACGCTCAGACACGCGCGTTACATCTCTTCGGCACAAATAAAAGAGGACAGAAAGCACATAAAACGGTAGACGCGCATATGTTTTCATGTGGCCAAAGTTTGTTCTGACAGGCCTAATGGATCTCTCTATAGGAGATCCATTGCTTCATAACGCAGCACAGCACAAACATGGCTTTGAAGAAACTTTCACTAATTAAAGTCTCCCTCATCTTATTAGCCCGACTAATTGATTCAATTTGTCTTAGCTCAACTATTGGCTTTGACCTCTACTTAGTTAATGAATTAATTGATTTAGCCCAAGTGTATTTCGAGGAGTCAAAGAGGATTTTGACATGTTGCCCCTTTAATCTTGCTTACTCCAGACACTCTATGGGTCATGACGGCAATGCATTGGCAAAGGTTTGAAAAGGGTGGAGGGTGGATGGCCGTGGATCGCAATTGTCACTCCACAAGGCTACCGGTGCAGAGCAGATTTGGCCTTCTGCAGTTTGTCAGTCCGTGAAGAAGCAGCCTTGGCGATGACATTTTAAAGGCTCCATTCTTCAGCTGCTTTCAAACTTGGAAAGACACTTAAACCTGCACAGAATCCGCTTTCCCTGACCAACCTCCACCTTCAGGAAGACGAGGCAATATTCCAAAGGTCTTCATGTTTTGGAGGGGAGAAATACGAGTCAATAATATTGTCGTAATGTATGATTACAACCAGTATACAGCCTTTACAAGGGCACTTGGATGCCTAAATTGCTAGCATCCACTTTATTGACATCGTTTTTCTTGATAATGATACGAGACAGAGGAGCTTCCTCAGCTTGGATGCAGTTATTAACCAGATGAAGGGGAAAGGCAAAATCTAAACTTGGCACTATTTAGAAGCTTTAACAGTGCTGCGTGTGACCATTTATCAAAGACAGCAGAGCTGGAGTTTGTTCAAAAACACCTATATAAGAAGGAAGAGATATAGCTTGGTGCCATGCACTTAAATGTGCTGCTTCCTCATCAGAGCACGATTGGAAAGCACTGTTTACATGTAGTGAAACCTGAACAAACAGCTCCCTCCTGTGGTGGAAAATCTAAATGTTTTCTCTAGTGTGCTCATCTCCAGGCCAACATCCCACAAGGGAAGTTTCATCCAACTGTTTCTCAAGAAAGAATAAAAATGCTCTAAAACGTTTAAGACAATACAAACATGTGAAAATTGGGAAAATACCTGCTCTCTTTAAATATTATGCACGGTATGATTGTTATTTATAGAGAAAACTTCTAGCTTCTCCTATTACAGCCTGTGTTCCTGTGAGCAGATTATGTCAGATCGCCGATTGTGAAGCACCAATTTGGAACTTGGCATCGCAACTAAATTCAAACGTTGCTTTGTTCTGTTTCATCAATGAGCCTTGTAAATAGGTCAACTCATGTGATTTAGACTCATTAAAAAAGAAACAGCTGATCTGTGTAGGACAACTGTAAAGTTGTGTCTTGTCAGTTTTTGACACACTTTTACAGATCATATACTTAAACTTGCGTGCTTTAACAATCAAAGTGTAACCAAATTAACAGAAACTTATCCTTCTACGATTCCTCGGACCTTTCTGTCGTTTAAGATTTGTCCTCAACTGTTTCTGTTTAACATTTTTAATGCTCAGGTTTGAATTTCACTTGGCCAACATAAATGTGAACTCTCATGGAGATCATTCTGATTCCTTGCCCTTTATCAACCAATGTCCTTTTCTACTGGGCCAACATTACTTACAGTATCCTTGAGAAGGGATAGTTCTTCACTATCCGACAAGCAAGGATAACCCTCAAGGTATTTTTTTTCTCTAAAAGACCACCATTAATCTTCTAACCAGAAAATACTGCAACCCATTACAAGAACACTTCTCTAGGGAGTTACGGAGGAAGACAGGCAGAGACGTTTCTTGCTTCAGCTGGGACAAGAAGGGCAACAACCTGCACTTCTTCCAAAAATCCAATTCAGTGCAAAGATAGAAAAAAAAAAGAAAGAAAGTGTCCGAACCAAGTTACTGCTAAATGGGTGTGATGACTCAGCGATTTACAGTGTAAGGAAGTATTTTGTGAGTTTAAGATTACTAGGATCAGCAGTATCTCTATCTGAGATATCGAGTTTAAGAAGTTTTCAGTTTGGGATTTAGTGAGTTATATTTGGTGATGAAAACTGCAGTCTCAAAATAACAAAAAGTAACTTAAAAAGTAAAACCATACTGACGTTTTGCACTGGCACTGTGGCCACAGGTGGAAAAATGATTGAATAGCGATGAAGTTAACTGGTCCATGAATGAGCTTTGATGGGATAACGTGATTTATTTTCCGATTGTACCTTAAAATTAATAAGATATGGACGAGGCCATAATTAATGTTCAAGGTTCCTATGATAAATCCCCTGATGTAACTGTCTGTTAATATTAAAAATGAAGAAGCTTCTTGTTTTTTACTAAATCAAGGTTCCAGTGCCTCGGTTTAAGGTTGTTTGTCACAGTGATGGAATAGATATGAAAAAAAAAGTTCATAAGTAGGCTACATGATCACACGAGCAAATGAAAGGGAGTACTGTAAGCAGCTCTTCTAATAGCTTCAACATATGACCCCAAGCTTTAAAAAAAATCTTTATCAGAAAGCCTTCAAGGAGAATACTTAGAAAAATAAGCCACGCAGATGGATCAACCATCCACAGTATGGCTGGTGTTAGGTGGGTTTTTTAGGCTGCAGCCTGTTACCACTTCATAGCTTTGATGTCGACTGAGGTGGCAGTTGACACTTCTCACACTTTGCTTTTAATGGGAATTTATCATTTAATAAAATACATAAGTGGTGCAGAGTGAGTGCTCTCTTGTGGACAAAATGCCCTCCATTTTATATACATATATAAGTCCGAGCTGACTTCAGACTTTGGCCGCCACTCAAATTGTTATTTGATATATTTGATCATAATGTGAAAGCAAAGTACACAGATTAATACATTCAGCCTCAGGAACAGTTTTATGAGTGTTTGTTGAAATATGATAAGGTTTGTTTTTCTTAGTTTGTATAATGCCGCTTTAAATTCCCAGCAAAGTGATCCAGCACACTATTAAAAACTGCAATAAACTATTTTTTTCACTTTTTTTTAAAGGCCGTATTATGATTTAGCATCACCTGCTGCCACCCGGCTCGCTGACAGATAGCTGGCATGTAATCATTCCGCCAACCCATAAATCTGCACAATGAAGGTTACTTGATATACAGAGGGAGAGAGATGCTTCACACACTTGCGTGTAGACGCACTGTGCAACCTTGTGTGAGATTTACAGACTCATGACTACGGATGCACACATGACCTTTGCAGTGCAAGTTTTTTTGGTAATAAAGGGGAAAAGTTACAAAGCCCTCTAACATAAATGTTGCAGGTAGATGTGGGATGGCAGAAATAATGATTTTATAAAAATACTGAAAATTGTTAATCAGAATTTTTTTTTTTATATATATAATTTTGTGGTGTTTTAGTTCCTGAATCTTGTGTATTTGTAGTCAATGTTGTAAAATATTGTAAAATAAATAGTTCCAAAGGCCAAACGGTGTTGAAATCTACCTCTTTCTTTTGTTTTAGGGAAGTAGGGAAAATTATACCAATGTAGATTTGAATCTAAAAGCAAACTGAAATCATCTTCCCAATGCCAAAACTACACACATAAACAATATACAATCCCACTTTAATGTTTGCTCCAACATATGGCTGCGTGAACTGAACTCCAAAACCGAGCATCCTTCTTCAGGAGCACTTCCCCTTTAAGTCGGCAGCTGTCGTCACAGCAGGATGACTCATATATTTTGCGACGCGACGTACACGCAACCCGGCTCGCCGTCGCCGCCTCACCTCCGCTGGCACGAAACAGTGCATCGTGGAAAAGAAAGACAACAAATCCCGTGTGTTTATGTCACCAGCCAGCTGTCTATAATGTGAAACAATGCTCCAGTCGTCTGAGACTCAAACGCCAGTTGTTGTTTTTTGGTGAGGAGGAAGTCGTCGTAGTGTTGCATGTAAGATTACCATTGGTTCTGCACGATGACTTATTTCTAGACCACAATATATATGTAAGTTCATAGTTTTTTAGGCAGAATATAGTGTGTGCTAGCTATGATTTAGCCATTAATACACACATTGTTAGCTTTATGCTCAGACAAAAGCTTACACCCATCTGTTGAAATACCCAACGTACGGGCCTGCATTTTCTTGTATTAGGTTTGCAATAACGTACTGTGTGTGTTATGAAAATATATATAAAAACATGAAGTAACAATGTAATTTCTTGCTGCATTCAAAGGGGAAAATGTTGCTGACTGGAATTCAAAGCAGACGGGCCCTACCGGCAGCTACATCACATTCCTGGGCTCCTGCAAGAGCCACTCTTTGCTCCACAACCAAATGAAGCCAACTTCCTCCACCTGTCACTGGGACTCCTGTGCACTGCGCTGGGCTCCTGTAGCCCACCCATGCCTGTGATCCCCATCCCACGGCGGGTGCGCAGCTTCCATGGCCCCCACACCACCTGCATGCACTCGGCCTGCGGGTCGACGCACGCCTCTAAGCTAGTGCGCACCAAGTACAACAACTTTGACCTGTACCTGCGCTCCCGCTGCATGTACAGCTTCCTCCGCTTCCTCCTCTACTTCGGCTGCAGCCTGCTGACCTCTCTGCTCTGGGTGGCGCTCTCCGTCCTCTTCTTCGTGCAGTACGTCAGCGTGCGCGTACTCCTGCGGCTGCAGTACAAGTTGTCCATCATTCTGCTTTTGCTAGGGCACCGGCGCCTGGACTTTGGGGTGCTTAATGACCTGATCATCTACAGCATGCAGATCACCATGTTTCTGGTGGGGGGCCTCGGCTGGTGCTTCATGGTGTTCGTGGACATGTAGCTCCAGATGGGAACGACCGTAGTGTTATGGGACGACATCTACCTTTCTCGTGTCCCGTAGCACTGCTCTGCATCACTGTCGGCTCGAGTCAAGAAGACCCCTTCGACGTCAACTCAAAAATCGTTTTGGTCTAGTTTCAGATATGATAGAGCCCATTAAGAACCTCTGTAACAACTGTGTGGACAGTCCTTTTGAAATTGTTGGTCCTGTATAACTGGGAGAGAACCACCTGGCGGCTGAATATCAACACTGATGCATGAAGTCAGTCAAAACCGCTTCAATTTCAACTGTATTTTCATGCCATTTGTAAACCGTTTTCACAACTTTTTGAAATCTTGGCTAGAAACTCATTTGTTTACGATAATGGAAAATGTCAATGTTGCATGTCAAAGTGACTGAACATATGAATGATGTGCATCACGGCCGTCTGATGCAAGACATGTAATTTGTGCCAAAAATGCCACGCGCCGGGCCCCCCCATCGGATAAATGTAGCACGATTCCCAGGTTGAGAGATATACGGTTGTGTAAACAAACTACTACATCACGTAAACATACATGTACCACAGAGACTCTGTATCTTATGGTGGATAAAGTGACCAAAAAAAAAAAAAAGTTGTCCAACAGTGTGTGTAATGTGGTTTTGTGAAAATGGTGGGGAAGAATAGAACAAGTGACTACACATCAACTCTTTTTGTAAAGTTATTAAATGTATTTCCTGTTAATGAAATGTTTGGTGCTTTTGCAACGCATGGCCGAGTGAATGTGTTTACTGTGTTGGCCAACACCCATGATAGCATGCCTCGAGCTGTGTCACAAGAGTGTGTGTGACGGGTCAAATTGAATTTGAGTGTCTTTAGGTCAAATGTTCCATCAGTCGCTCTCTTACACGTTGTTTTCACAGCGCCTCTGACAGACTTCTCTGTTTAGCTTCCTCCAGCACGCAAACACCAGCCACGACTCTAGACCCCGCCGTGCCTGCCAAGCATAACAATGGCAATGGCTGTGTCCCAATCACCTTATATAGCCTCGTTTTCACGTGGCATTGAGTATGCTTACAGAATCGGAGGGCTGAGGCACTAAAGAAAAAAAAAACAAAGCCTTTTAAACTTAACCCCGCATAATTTGCGAGGATAAGTGTGCCAAGCATCACCTTTAGGTTTTATCTGGCTAGTGTGAAAAAACAGCAACCAAAGAGTCTATCTTTAGATGGGAGCTTTCGACACAGAGGCTGGTGGCCTGACTGCGACATGCTTGAAACTGGTATGGCCTCGGGCTGTAATTAGATAATCGGGAGGGGGGGGAAACAATAAGCTTTTGTTTCGGAGGATCAACACGTAATATGCCTCATGCTCTGAGCTGGGCCGATCCGACAGCCCAGTTACAACAGAGGAGCGTCTAGAGAACATGAGTTGTCTTGTGATGTCAACATGGTGCAGAAGGTAGGCGTGATGATTAAGTCGTGGCCTGCTCATTTTCAATTCTCCTTTTTGTCTGAAAAGCTGAAGTCGATTGCTTATGTCTGAATGACTGGTCGGTTTCATTTTTATTTATTTTTTTTACTTTTGTCCAGATTATTGATTGGCATTGACGCCTCTTTTGTGTTTGGTTATCTTTTGAAGTTCATGAAGCATGTCATGCCACGTCAACCTCATTCACCCAAAATTTGATCTGCTGTGTTGCTGCTAGACCGCGGTTAACAACGGGAGCGAACAAAATCCGCTGCCGTTTTATTAGGCCAGTTACAGTTTTACAAGTAAAGCTGGACGGAAAGTCATGATGAAACATCTTTAATTTCCTTGTAAACCTGAATGAATTTGTAGTTACGGCACCGACCTACGTATAATGACATTATCAACTCGCTACCGAGTACCACAGACGCATGATAGTCCATGTAGGGACGTTACAGTGCCACCATACACTGTCTAAATACTAAGAGGTACAGTAGGTGCACTGTGAATTCTATCAGATGCCATCAGCACACTGTAAAACCATGTGGGAATATCACAGGACTCCTCATCCTGGTACAGATAAAAACATGGTACTTTATTGGAGATGTCAACAAAACCTTTACACCGTGAGATGACAGAAAGTTACAGATGAGCTATAATGTAATATAATATAAGGAGAGAGCGAAATAAAGATAATCCAGTGCCATCATGAATCGCAACAAATTGGGATATGGCCTACATAGATAAGTTTACACAGGAATAAGTGGGAAGTGACAAAATACGTTTACTAAATTGGTTAGGCCATATACCAGGAAGTAAATCCATTTGATCAGAATTTATAAATGCAGTTGATTATGTGTTTTACTCAACGTTTATCTGATGGCTGGTGTCTGAATGCTTCTTTTCAGAAAAGATTTGATTTGCAAAATAGTATGATAGATTGCTGTAGTTTAACGTCGATCACTTACGACAGGGGTTCGTAAGCTGGAGGTTGTGATCAATTTTCCAGCGGTCACAAGCTGATTAAGGAGTTAGGATAATTATGTTTCTTAACATCCAACTATGGCATGTCTGAATATGTTCAGTTTGGCGAGTGGTTGCAATTTGGCTTCAAAGGGTCGCAAGCCAAATAGGTGAAGTATAGAAGTATACAAAATACATTCAAATGTATATGGTCATATAAACATTCAAAATATATAATGTTGCATTCTTTGTGACAATCATGGCGAATATCCTGCCACCGTGAAGTACAGTAGAGCCAGTAGCAGTGATTTATTTAGTGAGCTGTGTCACTGTGGTATCGCATGCCTGCAGTAAAGAAAAGTTGACTTGAGGTCACACCGCCGCCAGTTGGCGCTTATAATTTAGCAGAACAGCGCACATGCGCACCGTGTAGCGTGAGCTGTCATCACATTGGGACACGTGAGGCAACCACACATGTACATTTTATTTAGGAGCACAACGAGCTCCTGTCTTACTCACAGCCGCATATGAGGCCCCTTAATACGTTGTCTTTTCGTTGACATATCACACCCAGCGTCGGTAGCGGGCTTTAACTCGCCGCGTGGGTTTTGGTACAGCACAGACAGAAGTCTGCACCTTTAAGCCCCGCAGAGTGCACCGAGTTCGCGTGTCCGTAAAGGCGGCACGGTATGACCGAACGCCGCTGACGGTCCGTTTTTGCCGCGTAGACTACAGTGTACCTACAGTAACCCGGGCAGGTCCTCCTAAAAAAACAAACACACGTCTGCGTCTTTAAAAAGAACTCTTTACCGGGTGGTGCATGATGTCAGGCTGCATGCACTGTTCATGTGAGCGGCGTTCACTTCCTGCAAAGGGATAGGAGCGGGCAGAGAGAAAAGAGAGAGTGGGATAGAGATGGGGGGGAGAGAGAGAGAGAGACGAGCAGCCAAGATAGGACTGGAGTGATATAGAGTGAGCCAGCGGACGAGGGGGGAAACCGGGCCCTGCTGTTGTTGTGGGGTTTTTTTTTTTTTTTACACCCCGCAAACTTTACAGGTTATCCGAAGAGAGAAAAGCCTGCCACATCTGCGCCAGCTGACAGCCGCAGTTTATGGAATAGCGACATATTTTCGGGTAAATATATCCCCTTCTGTCTTGGCTTGATGTTTACAATGCCTAGCTTTTGTGTGACGCATAGGTCTTTTTTTTATTTTACCGTGCATTATTCCCTCGCTGCTCCTTCTTTACAGCCACAATAGGCAGACCGCACACCCCGACTGTCTGCTGACATTACAGCATGGGAGTTAATTTAGATGAAACTACCAGCTAAACTAAGTATGACTCCTAAACTTTCATGAAGTGATCTCGCGAAACGTGAATGTTTTCACGCGGAGGATAATAGGTGTACCATGCGGTACTAGAATGATTTAAGGAGTCCTATGTGTACCTCTTTACCATCCATAAATGATTGTAGTCTAATTATAAAGCCGGGCAGTACTTTTAAACTCTTAACCACAGGAAATAGTGGTGTCATTAGTTGATCGGTGTTGCGTCACGATGAAGCCAAAACAACAAAAAAAAAAATCTCTCCGCCCATAAGGATCCATTGTGGTGCTATATGTTGCATTGTTGCGTCAAGGAATGGGCCTACTTTACACCAATCAATTGAAGTTGCTGCTGTGTGGGTCATTATTGCACACGTGTAGTAATCGGTATGCGGCTGGCTTCCCAAATTCTCAACCTTAAGCATTTTCCACGCATTCAATTGTCAGCATTGTTCGTTCCAGGTATTCTTTAAATTGTGGTTTCATCTTTAACATGTTTCCTATGTACAAGAGACAAAACAAGACATGACACAGGCTATAAAGTATTTGGGCCAAAAAAATGTGGTTCATACACTTTACTGTTGCCTGCTGTAGTGTCAGCTGTTTACCTCACCTGAACCCTGCAGGAGTCATCAGAGTATACATGCAATCCCCCTCCCCCCCTTTCTCCTGCATATACATACATGGGTGCAGTGTGTGTGTGTGTGTGTGTGTGTGTGTGTGTGTGTGTGCGTGCGTGTGTGTGTGGCTAGCCAGCTTGCAACTTGTGGCATTTTTCTTCATTTCCTGTCACTTTCCTTCCCTCTCACACACAATCTCTCTCTGTCACCCTGCTCTTATTCTCTAGTCCGCCGCCAAGCCGTGCGTTTATTCTCAAGATGACTATGAAAAATACAAAATCCCAAATATTTCCAAGTTAGTTATGGTCTACACATCTTAATCTCTGTCATGTGGTTTCGACACAGACCGAGAGTGTAGTTTACAGTATATGTAGCATCCTGGTCCCCAGACAGGTGTCGCGCAGGTTGGACATTAAAACGACAGCTTGGCTTATGGACTCGTATGAATCATTTAGGTAGCGTAGTGGCGTTCCTCGCCATTTTACACTTTTGAGTCCCACTTCAGAGTGTTTGAGCGTTTTTAGTGCCCATCTGTTTCTGCTTCTCCCCTGTAGAAACATCATGGGGCATAACAAGGTGTATCGTACTTCCCTTTTGAATTACTAAAACAGTGTGAATCCATAGGTGTGCCTGCCAGACTTAAAGGTAGCTTTTACAAGGTGGTTTACGATATCCCTCCCCCCTAAATACGGGGAAATCAGATTGGGGTAATGGGAGTTTTTTACTGCCAAGCTTCTATCTTCAGTGTTTAACACAACATACATGGAAAATGTGGGATTTTTTATTTTTTTTTCCTCTTTCTCTCGAAACGGAGGCCCTCCAACGCCACTCAACTTTGACTTGGACGTCTGCCAAAGGGCTGTGATGGCTCTCAACAGCTGTATTTGTGTGTGTGTGTGTGTGTGTGTGTGTGTCTGTGTGTGTGTGTGTGTCTGTGTGTGTGTGCGCGCGTGCTCGCTGTGTCCCGGCATGCCCTTCCTCCATAGGCCTCACATTATACAGCATTCCACAAGGGGGCCCGGGGCTGTGTGCAAGTGGGGAGTGTCAAGGAGAGAGAGAGAGAGAGAACGACAGCACAGTTTCAAATATAACTGATGCGGATACTGGCAGAGAAGGGTGAAAGAGGGAGAAAGTACAAAGGCTGCGAGAGACTTGCCTCATCTCTTGTTACAACCCTGAATGAACTAGAATTGAGGTTGCCTCAACACATGAAAGGCATATTGAGGTTATACAAACTATGATATTCTTAATTTCTGAGAACACAAATATTTGAGGACAACAATAACACATTTGGAACATTCAGAACCTGGAGTTTTTTTCCCCTTCATTTTCTCTGTGTGTGTCTGCTTGGTGCACTCTATATGCGTGTATACTCATGTGGGGAGTGTGTTTATGTGTGTTTGATTTTCCTTTCCTGAGACGGTAATGAGTCATTGCTGATGGTATGCGATACAGGGCACCAGTCATGCATCATATTCTCATACATTCTTGTATCCACTATGTAGCACAACAACTGCTGCTGCTGCTGCTGCTGCTGCTGCTGCTGCTGCTGGTGTGTTCAGGCATGTTGGTTGCTGCTATTGGAACAGTTTAGGTTAACTGTGACGAAACGTCTTTCTGCTGAATTGAATGTCAAGAGTCAAAATTGTGACTTGTATGTTTTAGAAGAAGGCGATTCTAATTGTATCTACCTTTCCTACACATATCAGTTGGTCTGCACTCCAGCGGTTTGTAAGGTGTTTGTTTCCTTTGAGTGGCGGCAACTGGAATTTGTTCGCATATATGAATATACCATTTCCTATTGGTTCTGTTTGGCCAACGTGCAAATGTTTTGTCATGTAGTATTTCGCAGAGCACTTAAACTAATGTACCAGAGAGATGGAATATAAAAATATGACAGTTTGGTTCTCTTCTTAATGTGCTGATGGTGTCTGTCAGTATCGGGGGGGGTAGTTCAGTATAAAAGCCTGGTAAGGTCCATAACTCTGAGATGAATTTAGTGTTAGCCATCCAAAAAGGTTTGAAAGATAGAAACAGAAGAACCAACACTCTGTGTGGGTTTAGAGGTGCGAGATCCGGGATTTGGGAGCATTCCGATTGCCTCTCGAAGGCTCCCAACGTGTCGACGGCGAGCCGGCTCGTCTAATGGCGCTAAAAGTGCAAACTTTTGCGAAAAAGTTGCTGACAGAGCTAACAGTGTTTACCTGAGGTGGAACGGGTTTATTCAGGTAGCCATGTTTTTCCTCACATAGCAAATGGTTGTTTTCTGCTATATTAACTCTAAATGTTAAATACAGCCCCTGTTTTAAAGGGGTATGAATCCTCATCTCCTGAAATGCAGATTAATAGTAAACAAAGTCGGAGGCCCCGGTGACCTTGCCTTGTCCACATATTTTCTCATCAAAGCCCAAATTAAGTTGGGACTCGCATCAAATCAGATTGACGGCTTTATAGGCGAATCTGGCTGCACTGCTGATAAAATAGATTAACTTAGTTAAACGTTAAACGTCCAAATGACTAATGTTCCCTGGTCTGTCTTCTAACTGATATAGCTACCCGGTAGGCAACGTTTTCCACCTAAATCAATAGTTTTTTAAAAAGGGTTTTGATGATGTATATATGTGTAAGACTCCCTCAATAAATTTGGAAGCAGAAGATTTGCATATATCTTGCATGACACTATTAATTTGCAGCCAGACTGCATGTTAAAAGGTGATTGCCAAAAAGG